CACTGTCAAGAATAACCACGGAAAAAGCCACAGAAAATGTCTGGTCAATTGATTACCCGGAAGTTCTGTAGTCAACCGTACTGGACTACGGATAGATAACAGAATTCCGTATCAGTTCTGTTAAGACCTACGGTTAAACTACGGATAGTCTGTACACGGTAAAATTCCATCATTTTAACTGAAAAACTACAGAAAAATTCCATTCTTTGAGCACACAACCACGGAAGTTCCTGAACCATGAACCTATCCGTGGTTCCTTGAAAGAGCACAAAATAGTTTTGTGCTCCATCAGGTAATCACGGAATTTAACCTTTGACGTAGTAAACAGGAACATGGTGCAAAGCTAGTCAATAGCTTAATTCTCTTTCGTCACTAAACTTACGATATGAAGGGACAAGCACCGAAGCATTACGCCATGCAGGGGAGAGCGATGTTCAACATTACTGAATCCGCCATTAAGTTTGATGAGGGAAGAGATCAGAGATTATGATGCTGGCATACCAAAAGCAGGAGCCAAGAAAGCTGAGACGACGCTGAAAGTTGATTTCTTCAAGGTAAGTTCAAATAAGAAAATGAATTTGAAAGAGTCTATTTTTTTAATAAACATCTTTCCTACAACCAGCAAGATTTCCAAACCAACCTGTCAAATATATAAAAAAGTGAGTTACCACCATTTTTATGTAAAAAAAAAAATAGACAATATCCAGCAATATTTACCTTCAGCTGAGAACATTTTTTAGAAGGGACACAAGAACTGTTTACATTCCTTGAATCGCAGTGATTACTTCAAAATAAGTGCAAGGGTATAAATCAACTTAAATTATGTATACAAAGAACCTGTAAAGAGTGAAAGAGGGGTAATTACTTAACTGAGACATTTGAAAAATCAAAAGAAGTAGATACAAATAAAAACTTGCCTTAACATAAAATGGTAGTGAGTAATGAATCTTTTATGTACTTTCCACACTCAGAGACAAGAAAAAAGATCATGGAAACGCATAGGACCAAGCAAAGGACCCTCCAAGTTCAGCTTCAAACCATAAGGACCGTTGGAGATTTGGAAAGGATT